TGTGTATATATTATATATTATAATATATTATTATATATTATATAAGTGTATAATGTATATACAATATATACATATTATATATAATATGTATATATTGTATAATATATATAATGTATAGTGTAGTTGTATAATGTACAATGTATACATATTATAATGTATTATTATATATATTATACACATACATACACATACAACAATATTTCCAATTCCAATATATATGGGTAATTATATATAATTATACATAATAAATTATATAAACATTGAAATAGTTATGTAAAATTTATGTGTATGTGTATAGATCTATATACACTTCTTAGTTTTGACAACTTAGAAAACTTAAAAGCAGTGAAATCTTAGTTTTTATGTATTACTTTTCACAAAAAGAAATTAGGGCTCCTTAGATAAAAGCTGAAGCCAAGTTAGGAAAACCATAAAATGAGCTTAGAACAACTTGCGCCATATAAAAAGTTCTCAAAGAGGTCAAAGAGTAATGGGGTACACTTAAAGGACATGCAAGCCATCTTAAAGGGGCTCCCAGTGATCAAATCTGGGAACATTTAAGCATCAAAATAAATTGTGATAATAATAAATTATATCCCATTAAATATAATAGAAATACATAAATAGATTATATCCCATTAAATAGAAATACATTAAATTGTAGTTATCCAATTTAAATAAATAGATTGTGAGGAGAAAATAAATCTCCTTCTTAAAGTAGAATGCCAAGGAGCAAATGCAGAAGAAGTGACACAATTAGAAAGTCAGTCAGTCAGTCCTAAATGTATACATTTAATCTGGTTCATCCTACTCTGGCCTCTCTCACAATCCATTTTACATACTGCAGAAGGAGTAATTTTCCTGATCATGTGTGATTTTTCACTCTACCCTGATGTCTCAACCCTGATGTCTCATGCATAATAGCTATTTAATAGGTAGTCATTGAAAGAAAAAAAATAAGTGAATGAATGCACTGAAAAGAAGGTACAGTTTAATTCCTAAAAAGTTTTAAAGCTGTTTATATTTCAATTAAACCCTCTCTTTTATAGGAAGTGGGCAGTTGCAGAATTTTTTTCTGTTCTATTATACATTTTTGGCAATTTTAAAAATTCTTTCATATCAGGTGAGTCTAACCAAGGTTATGGTGTTTCATTCACCAATTTTATTTTATATGGACAGTGGGTAGGCCCTATCATTGGCAATTATGCTACTAAATAAGAAAGACATGACTCTTGCTTTCAATGAGCTTACATTACAGTGGGATGCAGCTGAAATCACACTAGTTAATAAGCAAATAAGAAAAGCACAAACGGTAGTAAACTCTATGAAGAAAATACAAAGAGGATTATGAGACAGAATTCTGGCAAGAGGCAGGGTATAAGTTTCCTTGGTCTAGATGGTTGGAGATTAGCAGAGCTCTAATGACAAGATGGGCTGTAGTGATCTGGCAGTGAGTGTTACAGGCAGAGAGAACATATATGACAGAGGCCATAAAGTGGGATGAGTTGGTATATTGAGAAAGAATACAAACTAGGATACAGTGTGCTAGACGAACAGCATAGTGCAGCTAGGGGCTTAGATAGTGGGCTAGATTATATGGCCAAGGGCATGGTATGGTGATTTTTATTTTTTAAGTGCTATGGAAAGAGATGGCTTCACAAATTGAAAGGGCATATACGAATTATGCTTTTAGAAGAGCAGAGTGCCTGCTGTGTGAAGGATGTTATTGTAAAGGGCCCAAAGTGGAAGCTTGGAGACTCAGTGGAAACGAGGTGAGATTTGGTGGTGACATGGCTAGGACCAGGAGAGGGGAAGTGGAAACGAAAAGAAAGGCTGATGGAAGGAAGGTATGTTTTAGAAGATGAGTTAGGAGGACTAGCTGAAAATGGAAAGTGTGGGGAGGCAATGGCTGAAAGAGAAGAATATGGATATGGATATGGTTTTGGCTGGCTCTGTGCTGCAAGAGATAGTGCACTGGACTTCTAGCTAGGCCTGGTGTGTTAGGAATTTTTCAAGAAGGATCATTACATGGAGTTGGAGCAGTGAGTGGCAGAAAGAAAAATCAGGGCTTACATAGTGTGAACATCATGACTCTATAATACAAACATGTTCCACCTACAGTTGAAAAGCATAAATATTAACTATTATGCCTTGAGAGGATTTACATTACCATTTATAAAATTGTTCTGAATTGATAAAGGACTTCAAACAACTATTGCCTTATATGTAGACTGTGGTATGAAGTTTTCTTATTAGTTTTATTTATTTCTAACTATCTTATATTATTGATAATGATAAAAATCATTACTGACATTTATATCATTTACTTCAAACCTGGCTCTGTGTTAAAAATTCTACGGTGGAATAATTTTCTTTAATATTTAAAACAACTAATGAAGGTAGGCATTCTTTATCAATGACACTTTACAGGATTAGACACTGAAGCTTGGGGAAGGCTATTTACATGGTGGCAGATACTGTTCTTACACCCTTTATAAATATCAACTCACTTAATCTTAAAAATAGCCTTATGAAATAGTTTCTATTATTATTATGCTTTGAACTTCAGAATTTTTTTTTTTAATATATTACTTGAGGCCACATCACCCACCACTGGTGGCATTGAGATTGCAACCGAGGCAATGTGGCTCCAGAGGTTACCACCTCAACCATCATGAGATACTGTTTCTGAACAAAGGTAGCATGAGACTGACTCTATAGCCTGTTTTCTTAGCTACTTGATTATATTACTGAACTTTTATAGTCTTCATTTTAACGAGGGTAAACAGAAACTCAAAGGGAATGGAGACCTTGTCAGGGTCACATAGCAGATCCACACTTAATTTCTAAGCTGTGCTGCTTCCTCTTTTTAATAGTTAAAAGTTACATTTTCATACACAAACCAACAAATTTACAGTCACTGGATATTTTATTGCAAATAACCCAAAAAACAAAAAAGATAGTTCCTACTTATAGAAGGAAGCTTACTAAAATAGCAGTTCTAGATTTACACTTTGCTAAAAAAATTCACTTGGGATTTTTGTAAATGATTGATGTTTTTACAGAATATATTTGAAATCCACAGGGGTGCTGAGTATGACATATTTAAAACTTCATGATTTTTTGTTATATTTTTAAAATGTGGACTATGATTTTGATATTTTAAATTCTGTTTTTTGAGATAGGGACCCTGGAGTCAGAAAGAGCGACAGGCTCCCATCTGATCCAAATACAAAGGTTTTAAATGAATAAATAACTGGCACTAAAGTCTGAATCGCAAGACTTAATTGAGGTGTCCCAAAAGATTAAATGTAATAATTATAATTTTGTTTTGCTGATTGCATAAACCCCCAGAAAAAAAGCACTTAGGTTTTTCATTGAGGGAAAACAAATTATTACAATTACTTGCTTTATTTAAAAACATTTAATGAATTTAATAAATTTTAAAACTGTGTGGTCTTAACCCTTTATTAATTATAGCAGGTCCTACTTCCTATTCATAAAATTTTCTTATTATTAAACTGGCAACCTGATAGGATGCACAAAAGCAGACACTGTTCCACCCTAGGCCATCTCCTTACTAACCATGCAGTGAATAAAACTGGGGACACAGCCATGACTGACATGTTTCTAATCAATGAAAACAAATCACAGGACAACAGGCAGAGTGTGCTATCTTTATCAACTATGTAGTAGGATGCATATTTTTAGATATAGCATACATTGTATATTTTAATACTTACAAAATAAAACACAAAGTGAAATAAAAAATAAAATATAAAAATAAGGTATAAATAGACAAGTAATTCTTTTTACCTAGAAAGATATACCTAGCTGGTAGGAAATTAATATAAAATTTACACTGAAAAAGTAATGCCTTATAGTGGTGGCTCACGCCTATAACCCTAGCACTCTGGGAGGCCGAGGCGGGTGGATGGTTTGAGCTCAGGAGTTCGAGATCAGCCTGAGCAAGAGCCAGCCACTGTCTCTACAAAAAAAGAAAGGAAGGAAAGGAAGGAAAGAAAGAAAAGAAAGAGAGAGAGAGAGAGAGAGAGAGAGAGAGAGAGAGAGAGAGAGAGAGAGAGAGAGAGAGAGAGAAAGAAAGAAAGAAAGAAAGAAAGAAAGAAAGAAAGAAAGAAAGAAAGAAAGAAAGAAATTAGCCAGGCATCTAAAATACATATGTAAACAATTAGCCGGGCAGGTGGTGCATGCCTGTAGTCCCAGCTATTTGGGAGGCTGAGGCAGAAGGATTGATTGAGCCCAGAAGTTTGAGGTTGCTGTGAGCTAGGCTGATGCCATGGCACTCTAGCCCAGGCAACAGAGTGAGACTCTGTCTCAAAAATAATAATAAAAAAAAACAAAGTAATGCCTTATAAATAACATTTAAGAAACATTTATAGTAAGACAAGATACACCGTAAACATGTGATATGCACGACCTCTTTAATACTCTCAATTCTACAAAGTAAACTATGATTCCTATTTTACAGTTGAAGAAAATAAGACTAGGAGATGTTAAGTAACTTGTCCAAAGTGATATACCTGGTGAGTGGCAGACTGGGGATTAAAGTCGCATCTATCTGATTCCAGAGCCTGCGCCTTTAACAATTATGGTACACTTTCTCCCAAGAGTGACAACAAAAATATCTGTAAACTCGATAACACTGAGAATAATTTTTAAAAGACTACTATTAGTAGTAATAGTAGCAGTATAGAAGGAGCAATGATAGTAATAAACATAGGAGAAAGTCATGGCATTTGGGTTCTATCTTACTTTTGATAGCAGGTAGGTTAATTTTTGACGGCCTCAATTTCTGGAGAGAGAATGAAACCAGATCGTATTGGAGGTTTTCTTCCAGACTAATATTCCACGTTAAATTCTAGGCTGCTATCTTTAGAGCGAAGCATTGTTCCAAAATGACTATACAAAGCACCGCTCCAGCAGCCTCCCTCATTGCACTCTGAGTAAGTAGACCTGTAAATGAACAGAGGCCGCCTTACCTGTAAATGAATGGTGCCACCGTGGCAGTGTTCGGGTGGCTGTGCTGCTGCTGTTGAGGGAGTTGGACAGCACCATTCCCTGTGCCCTGCCCACTGCTCTGTGCCGCGGGCACACTACAGGGACCAGAAGAGGGTTGGCCAGCTTCCCTTCCTTCCAAAGGTGCAGGGCAGTTAGACGCACTTGCTTTCTCCGTGGTTACAGGCTTAGGTAAGGACTGGGAGGGGCTTCCTTTGGTAGTCCTGAATTTTTCAGACTCTTTGCTTGCTGTGCTGCCAGGTGAAATGGTTTGCTTTGCTGTTGGCACCTTTGAGCCTGGTTTTGGAATCCCACTGGAAGATGGAATTAAACTTTCCTTCTTGGCTGCTGTCGTCTTGCTACCCTTTGGGATCAAGCTTGCAATTTTAGAGGTCTTTTTTGGAGCAGTCTCTGTCATCTGATCCTTTTCTTCCTTCACTGGTTTTTCAGCGCAAACTTTATTTTTGTCCCTGTTCTTTTCCTCTTTTTCCTTTGGCTGCAGCAAAGACTTTTTATTGCTGAGATTTTTGCTTCCAGCTTTTGGAGGGGCCAATTTAGGTGACACTTTGGGACTGCTATTTGTTGAGCCACCGCTGTTCACACCACTGTTAAAACCTTCCGTTTCGCCAGACTCAGAAAAGGCATCATCATCCTTCCCACCATCACTGGGTCCTGAACTGGGAGACTGTGGTGGGCGTAAAGCAGTCCGGGCGTTGACCAGCTTGAACTTTTCAAGCATGGATTTCTGTCCCGAGGGAGCAGATTTGACCCCTTCTGAGACGGGTTGCTTTAGTCTGTCTGAAGATGGTGGAGGAGAGGTGGCTGGGCTCGACTGCTTTATGCTCAGCATGGTGGAGGTGGCGCTGTGTTTGACATTCATGGACTTGCTGCGCCAGGGCTTGCTGGCACTCGGAGAAGGGATGGCAGAGGCAATAGGCTGCCCAGCAGTACTGGGAGGCTGCATGGTACCAGTTACACCTGAAGAGGGTTGAGGTGCTTTGGAGGAATCTGGAAATTGTTCAGAAAAAAAAAAATTTAAAGAAAAAGCTGATTAGTCTTGATCACTTATACCACACCACTGAGTACTTCCTAACTATGCATGTAAGTGTCTCTCCTTTGAACTGAAAAAAGACATGCTATGCTGCATCAATTACTTCTGTAATGTGATTGGCTTGTCTTCTTTTGTTTTTGTTTTTAACCATATATCAAAAATGCAGAGTATTTAAGAGGCACTGATTTTGGGGGAAAAAAAAGCATGTTTTTCGCCCTCTTAAATTACTTTCACCCAAATGAATTTGCTAGTCACAGATATCTAAAAATGAATAAAACAGCATCCCCACCCTAAGAAATTCTCTGTATTTTTTTCCAACTACCACTGTAGCTCATACCAGTAAATGGATATTACACATTTCCTTATAAAAATATGTTGTATAACACTGTCGAGAAATTGCTTTAATCTGAGAGTTTAGCTAATTCTTATCTGATTAAATATGCTAATTAATTTATTATAATGAATCATTGTTAAGTTTTGTTAATTTCATTTTTCTTTGTATAAAATAATCATTGAAATTTCTGCTTCTAAAGATCAGAAAATATACTAAGCAATCTATATATATATGTATCTATTTATCTGTATAATAATCTTACAAGGTATATATTAACATTATCATCCTCATTGTACAGATAAAGCAACTGAGGCAAAGAGAAAATAACTTGTTCAGGTCACACAGCCTGCATTTGAACTGATTTCAGAGACTCTGCTTTTAGCCAGCACACCTACAGCCTCCTATATGATCTGAACAAACTCCACAGCCTAATAGAAAATCAAGCTGCTTTTTGACAGCTAAAGATAAATAAATCTATTCGTCATATAAGTGCTTTACAATGCACTAGTGTTTGCTTGTGTTCCACTCAAAAGTCACATTATGTTGTGAATTTAATATGACTGTCTAGTATTGATCAATGTTTGATTACAAGTCTTATTCGTAAGAACAAAAAACTAAATCAAAGAAGAGATTTTATAATACGGTCTACAATAAAAGGGAATTGAGTTACAGTTCGAAGACCTCAGTTCAAATGTTAACATTTAGAAACGCTATAATTCTGGTCAGGTCATTTAACTTATGTTTCATCAACTATGAATACCTCCCTCTTTCATTTTGGGGGAGTTGGTGAGAGGATGATTGAATTAGATGTTAATTTGGTAGTGTTAACACACAGATATTAAAAAATAGATGTAAATCTGTTTTGATAAAATACAATTGTATAAAGAATATCCTTTTCAGAATATTCAGGAATTGAAATTCATTAAATTTCATTAAATATTTATAAATGTAAAACTACAATGCTTATATTATAAATGTCTTCTTTAAAAAAGTGAAAACACATGATAAACCATACGAAATCAAGCCAATTGGTACTGAATACTAGTCTTACTCATTTTCCTAAAGAGGAAATTGACATACAATGAAGGACATAACAAAAACAGAAAGGAAAGGAGGTCAAATTGTTAGTTGAATTTTTGTGTGAGTTAGGCAGATTTTATTTTTTAGAAACTAACTGTACCTCCAATTCAGTTGATATTTGAAATTTATCTTAACAATAAATTATAACAAATGCATTTTATATTAAATTTTCTTAAACAAATTGGTATACCAACTTTGACTTCTAATTCTTACTAACCCTCGACAATTCCTTATTTCAACTGACAAAAACTAATACTAGTAGTGCAAGACTATATCTATATATACTTCAGATTTGCAGTCCCCATTCCCTAGGGCAGCAGACTAATAAAGGTCTGTGGCCTGTTAGGAACCGGGCCACACAGCAGTAAGAGAGTGATGGGCCAGGAGCGAAGCTTCATCTGTATTGACAGCTGCTTCCCATCACTTGTATCACCGCCTGAGCTTCACCTTCTGTCAGATCAGTGGTGGCATTAGATTCTCATAAGAGCAAGAAGCCTACTGTAAACCACACATGTGAGAGATCTAGGTTGTACGCTCTTTATGAGAATCTAATGCCTGATGATCTGAGGTGGAGCTGAGGCGGTGATGCTAGCGCTGGGGAGCAACTGCAAATACAGATCATCATTAGAAAGAGGTTTGACTGCACAGAGACCATAATAAATCAATTGCATGAAGACTCATATCAAAACCCTATCAGTGAGTGGCAAGTGACAATCAAGCTCCATTTGGTGGCAGACTTCATAGGGGCAAGTAAGTTGATGTACTTCAGTTGTATAGCTGCATCTGGTAACAGGCTTTAAGTCGGAATCCAACACTTATTTTAGTCCATGCATGGATCACCCATTATTTTATTTACCACTTTCATTCATGCCTCCTTCCTGCACTGCATACTTGTCTCAGTCACAGTTTTGGTAAGCCCATAATCTAACCCTAGCAAAAATGAGCACAAATCAAACATCACTGGAGAGCTTCTTTGAAAAGAGAGAAAGACCCAGTGATGAGACAGCAGAAGACCTCAGACTGCCAACAAAATAAATGAAAGCTGCATTTAAAAGAAAATACTAGGAGTCCTACTTTAATTACAGGTTCATTGCAACAGGTGATTCACATTCTCCAAGCCTGCTTTGTATAATATGTGGTAACTGGCTATCCAACAAAGCGATGAGACTTTCAAGACTGCTTTGCCACATGGAGACCAAGCACTCTGCATTAAAAGACAAATCTTTAGAGTTTTTCAAAAGAAAAAAAAATGGGAACATGAAGAAAAGAAGCAATTATGGAAGGCACTTCATCAAATGTGTCTGCACTGAGAGCATCGATCATTCTTAGTGGCTAACCGCATTGCTAAAGCTAAGAAGCCCTTTACTATTGGTGAAGAGTTGCTCCTGTCTGCTGCTAACGTTCCTTTGCCGTGAACTTTCAGGATAGACTTAAGTTCAAAAGGTGACACATGTTGCTCTTTCGGCCAGTACCATAACTAGACAAATTGTTGAAACAGCAGAGGATATTGAGGCACAATTGTTAGAAAGGATTAATGAGTCACTGTGTTACACAATCCAAGTTGACGTGTCTAGCGATGTTGACAAGGCAACGATGCTCGTTTTCGTGTGATATATTTTTCAGGAGGATGTGCATGAGGATATGTTATGTGCACTTTTGTTGCCAACCAACCCCACAGCTTCAGAACTATTCAAGTCTTTGAAAGATTATGTATCAAGAAAACCGAATTGGGCATTTTGTGTCAGTACCAGTGGTCCTCAAACTTTTTAAACAGGGGGCCAGTTCACTGTCCCTTAGACCGTAGGAGGGCCAGACTATAGTTTAAAAAAAACTATGAACAAATTCCTATGCATACTGCACATATCTTATTTTGAAGTAAAAAAAAAACAAATGGGCAAAAACACCCACATGTGGCCCACGGGCTGTAGTTTGAGGACGCCTGCATACACAGATGAAGTGGCTGCTATGACTGGACAGCTTTCTGGTTTCACTGTTTGGGTCAAGGAGGTCACTTCTGAATGTGATTCTATGCACTGTGTCATCCATAGAGAAATGCTGGCTAACTGAAAAATGTTGCCTGAATTAAATGTTTTGCAGGATGTGAATAAAATTATCAACCACATTAAAGTACATGCCCTTAACTCACATCTGTTCACAAAGCTCTGTGAGGAGACAGATGCAAAGCACACATGTCTTCTCTCATACACAGAAGTGAGATGGCTTTCTAAATGTAGATCACTGGCCAGAGTTTTTGAGTTATGAGAGCCACTCCAGAGATTTCTTTTAGAAAAATAGTCACCACTGGCAGCACATTTCAGTGATACAGAATAGTTCAAAAACTTGCTTACTTGTGTGACATATTCAACCTGCTCAACGATCTCAATCCGTCACTTCAGGGATGGGGGTGGGGGCTGTGTTCAAGTCGGCAGATAAAGTGGCTGCATTCAAAGCCAAACTAAAATTGTGGGGGCAATAAGTGAACATTGGGATTTTTGACATGATTTTCAAACATTAGCAGAGATTTTGAAAGAGACTGAGCCAGGACCTTCTTTCTCCCAGATGGTGCATGATCACCTATCTCAGCTTTCAAAAGAGTTTGAGCATTATTTTCCAACCATGAAAGACCCCCTAACTGGTAATGAATGGCACCATGACCCATTTGTGAACAAGCCAGGTGAATCGACTGTCAGTGTTTCAAATCTCCATTATGTTCTAGATTAAAGTCAAGGGGGAATATCCCAAGATTTCCACAAAAGCAGGGTTTTCTGCAGTGACAGCAACCCAGGCATAAATGACACACTTTGGGTGTGACTGTCTCCCATCACCAGTCCCAGTTCTGGTCCCAGATGGGACTGTCTAGTTGCAGGAAAACAAGCTCAGGGCTCCCACTGATTCTGCATTATGGTGAGTTGTATAATTATTTAATTATATATTACAATGTAACAATAATAGAAATAAAGTGCACAATAAATGTAGTGTGCTTGAATCATTCTGAAACCATCCTCTCTTCCCACAGTCTGTGGAAAAATTGTCTTTCATGAAACTAGCCCCTGGTGCCAAAAACATTGGGAACTGCTGTTCTAGATTATAGTGTAGTTATTCACTGAAAATTCAAAATGCTTACATGATATATTTAAATTTTAAAGATGATGATGATAAATTGATCTTTTTTCAGCATTCACATAAAGTCTATAATTATGTCCATGTTTGGAATAATTACAGAAATACATTCAGTCCATACACAAACACTAGGTTGTTCTGAAAAACAAAAGGTGTGCTGACTGATTTAAGACAAATATAACAAGCTTTAAAACTTCCAATTACTCAGATAGATTCACTGTTTAATGGATTATAATCTTTTGCTTATTATCTATAAGTAGAAGTAATTCCAAGTTTATTTCAACAACCCTTTCAGAGACTGATAATATTTCATCATAATTTGGATGATTTTTGGTAGCAGATAGAGCAGACTGATTATATATAAATGTGGGAATACCTACCAAATATTGCTCCAGATTAATTTCTCCTTATAAGTCTTTGATT